AAAAAAAAAAAAAAAAAAAAAAAAAAAAAAAAAAAAGTGTGGCGGGGGGAGCAGCCTGGGTCACTGCTCCAGGCAGAGCTCTGGACACCCCGGACTCCCAGAATCAGCTGCTTTGAGACCGGCATCCCCATCCTCGAGGAGACGACTTGGTTACCAGAGCAGCGCTGGCCTCCCAGTCCCGCCCAGAAGGCCGGCTGTAAATGTCCCTTGCAGATCAGAGCAAGGCAGGGTGACAGGAGGGTGGTGGGGTCTTCCCCCCTTCTGCTCCGGAGTTTTTTAAATAGAATAGGAACCCCAACCCATCCCCATCTCTGGAGTTGCCCACCCCAAGCCCCCAAAACAGTTTAAGGACAGAGGCCACTAAGGCTCAGAGCTTCCCGCTGCGATCTCGGAAGAAGCCCTCGGCTGCCTGGGCCTCACGGAAGGTGACGGTGATGGAGTTGGCGGTGATGTCAGTCACAGTCACCTCACTTGAGGGGAGCGTGGGTATCCAGGGAGGGGGCCCATTGGCCAAGTCTGCGTCTGCTGTAGCCACAGGACAAAGACAGGGACAGGGACAGGGATAGGTTGACAACTGGCAGACAGGTGGGAGCGGTGGCAGCATGCAGAACAACCCCCACCCCAACATTGTGTCCCCGGCCAGCTCAGGACCAGCTCAAGGCGGACACCAGGAGGGGCACCACGTGAATCTTCCCTGGCTGGATGGAGCTGTTCTGCAGCAGGGGGTCAGGCAGGATTGGTCCTGACCATTCCCCCGCCGTGTGGCTGTCTAGATCCTCCGGACATGGGTCAGTGGGCCTGTTTCTGAGGCCTTGGGGCCGGGCTGCCTTACCCTCCTCTTCGGGGGGCTGCTCCGTGGACTCCCACTCGCCGGCTGCCTGCAGAACCTCTGTGGCCGGTGGCTCCTGCAGGGAGAGCTCCCGTGGATGGCTGTGACTCTCCAGGTGGGACCCGCGGGGCGGGAACTTCTTGCGTGAGAGCCGCAGGTACTTGTGGGCCTTGTGCGGCTTGCAGAGCGGGAAGGGCAGGGTGGGGACCAAGGGGCCCTTGTCCACCAGCTCAGATGCCCCCGCCTTGACCACCCCCTCAGGCCTCCCGCTGCCGAGTGGGCACGTCAGGGAGAAGCAGAGCTTCTCCTTGCCCTCGGCCTTGTGGGAGCTGCGCAGGTCCATGCTGTACAGCCGCTGCGAGGGAAGCCAGGGCACGGCAGGTCAGCCTGCCCTCCCACTTTGCTCGTGCTGTTCCTCCCGCCACAGCAGCAGCTCCCCAGCCCACCCAGGCCAGGCTGGACCCATAGTCTCCTGCCCCAGGGATGGGGGCCAGGACTCCAGCATCATTCCTCAGATACACACCGAGGAGCACACCAGAGTTTTCCAACTGGAAACCTGACGGAGGGCTGCAGCATGGCTCAGTGGGACAGCACTTGCCTAGCATGAGTAAGTGCCTGGGCTCGATTCCCAGCTCCACCAAAAAAAAGAAAAAAATCTGGACTTATAAAGTAGACAAATTAAAGGAGTTACTCTTCATCCTATAGGAAAGCATGTCTTCCCAAGGTATCTCCGAAGCTAAAAAGGCAGCTCCCTAGGCTAGGCAAAGCTGGCACTGAAGTTCTGGGGGCAGTTGGCCCAGGGAACTCAGCATTACGCAGTACAGCACCTGCAGGAATAGGCCCGACCAGGGCCCGGCCAAGCAACCTCACCTTCGGTGGGCACTCCAGGCACAGCATGATGCACATCTGTCCTACTGACTTTGGGGAGAACCAACCCGACCCTGAGGAAGATCCTTGGTGCCAAGGCATGGGGAGATCTGCTCTGTGACAGTACTGTCACTGCCACCTGTCCCCAGGGGCCAAGAGCTTGCGGGACAGCAGGCTCTGTGGTGGGCCCTATGGGCCGCGCACCTCTCAAGCGGAGGCAGCCCCACTCAGTCCTCCAACCACCCGCGAGGCATCCTTCTCGGTCCTTCACCATGTCATCAGCACAGGCGGGAGCCCCAGTCAAAGCTTGGCTCTAACCTAGAGGAAACTCTGGCTTCCCTGGCCCACAGCTACTTCATCAGCTGCACAGAGGAAAGCCTGCAGATGGCCACCTGCAGGTCCTTCCCACAGGGGAGACTCAGGATATGGCTTTTGGGACCAGGTGCTAAGGATACTGCCTTCTCCCATACTCTCGGACGACACAGCAGGGAATTAAGTGGCCACGCCCTGAGGACATCCACGCCACCCCATGGAGAGGTCCACACGGCAGGACCCGGCCTATCACACCCAACACTGACTTGCTGGGCATGTGAGGGGCCACCTGGGCAGTCAACCCTCCAGCCTCAGGCTTCAGATGACCCTAGTCCCTCAACGATCCTAGCACCTGCAACTGGAACTAGACCACTAAAGAATCAGTCTTTCTAAAGTCCTGACCCACTGAAACCATGTCATACGGTAAACGTTCACAGCTTTAAAATGCTGAGTTGGGGGCAACTTGTTACACAGCAGTAGGTAACTAATAAATCTACCCAGCAGGTTTGCTGTGTGCATGAAATGTGTTCAACATTGCGGACGTCTGGCAAATGTTATGTCCCTTCCTAGGACGCAGTTCACACCAAACCTCATGGATCACACCAGCTGGAGGGAGGCCAAGAAAGCCTCAGGGGACCTAGGACCGGGAGTGGCCACACTGCATCTGGACCAAATATCCTCATATTTGGGCCCCTCATACCCAGTTTGGCCTTATTAAATTAGGGCACCTCTTATCGATGACAACACTCCAGGCATAAGCCCAGAATCACATAACTCACTTCACCGCTTCAAATTCTGAATGCTCTTCTTGCCCCCAAGACCTAAGACACAGGTGCCCAGGATGTCACAGACTCCTACCTCACCAAGGACTGGGAAAGGAGGCCCTAGAGGTTTTTCCCAAAAATGCCATGCTTCTAGGAGTCAATTACTCCAAGTCTGTTCCAGGAGGCTAAGAGCCTCTCTGATCACAGCCCCTAAAATTCCAGTTGCCCATGCTTCCTCAATTCTAAAGTTTATTATGTTTCTAAGGTTCTCAAATATTACAATTTTGTGTTTGGGGATTCTCTGCATCAAAAAGGCTTATTTACAAGAGTCTAGGCTTTCAGAAAACCTACAACTGTGCTGGCCATGTGCCTGCCCTGCCTCCTGCCAGGGTACTCCCTACCCAGGCTGTGTGCCGCATTCTAGTCTTCTCAACCCCCTCCAAGGAGATGCACCCCTCAAGAACCCCCACAGCACCCTAGAAGTGCTAGAAAAGGGCAAGTGGAGGGTTCAAGTAGCCAAGGCAGGGGCACGTGGGCTGGGACTGGGCAGGAAGAGGGTGGAGGCCCCAAGGCAGCAGTTACCTGCAGCAGAAGCCGTTTGGGTTTCGGGCCTCTCTTCCTATACCCGGATGCTCGGTCTCTCTCCTCCCTGGGTGCAAAGCAGGTGGCAGAAGAAAAGGAAACACTGGTGACATCTAAAGGGGACCAAGGTGTCCACTTCACCCCCTTCCACTATCTTGAGATGGGGACACCCCCACCAACCACCCCTTGTCTTTGCCTTTGGGCCAGAATAGTGGGGTTAAGTGCTCAACCTCCAGGACTTGGACTTCCCACCTGGCATGTGTGACTCACGGACCCGGAAATGTGTGAGTCCTGACAGAGCTCTGGAGCCATGCAAGGGATCTGCTCCACTTGCTACTGGGGACCCCAAACTTGCAGCTCCACTCTCTAGTCACAGGACAGCCTATCAACCCAACATGTCCTCAATGTCCCCAGGGAGTTGAAGATGGCAAGCCCCTCTGCCACGCCCCTCACCCAGGACCTGCAGGAACCCAGTCCTGCAGGAACATGGAGAGAGGAAGGAGAGCCCGCCCAAGTGCACCACAGATGCCCAACCTATCCTGGGTACCACTGTCACAGGAGCAAACACAAACTCACAGGGCACAACATGAGGATGTTTACAGAGCCCACAACACACACAACACACCAAGATTCTACACCATGGGGCCACATGGCATGGGAGTTCCACTTCCTGGCTCACTTCACACCTGCAGCCAGGCAAAGTATGCAGGGCCAGGAGGTCACCCTGTCCCTTCCTGGTTGGGTGATCTCAGGACAGGATAAAGCAATGAATCCCACATTACAATATCTGACCTCCAGGCAGGAGCTGCCACTCCCTGTGGGACATCACGTCCTGGGTGGCAGGAAGAGCACCTTGCAGAAGCCCAGTGCTGACACCTTCCCACTGCATTCCTTGCCACATGCCAACACAGTCCACCGAATTCTCCCAGTGCCACAGTGCTTCTAAGGACCAGGGCCCCACCAACACCCGGGGAAGCAGGGAGAAGCTGTGGGGCAGGGACACCCTGATCATTAACATATTCCCACAACGTGAACCACTGAGGGCACATGCGTGATTATCCCATCGGGCAGCTTGTACTTCTGGTAGTACGAATGGATACAATCACTTTCATCAGTCTTTTTACTTAAAAAATGCCACCCAATGGAACAGTCATGCGTGTATCACTGGTGGTTCAAGCTGCTCAGCAAAGACATGAATTACAGCTTATCGTGACGTGTTCAAGGAAAGAACAAAGAAAAGCTGCCCTTTGAGGCAGCAGGAACCCTCCAGGGGAGGAACAGTAAGGGCAGTGGGCACAGCGCCCACCCCAAGCTGAGCTGGTTCCCACTGCTTTGAGGTTCAATTTCTCGGAGACTCAGTGTCCTCCTCCATCAAATGAGAAGCCCAGAAAGGACTGGAGAGAAACAATTCTGCGATGAGGCCCATACTACATGGGGTGGTGGCCAGGTGGAGGTGGGACTTGGGCTGCTGGCCTGGGGCAGTGAGGACGGGCAGAAGGGACAGTGTGCTGGCTGGAGGGGACGGACTCTGCCCTGGGCCACTCACGGGGAGCTGGCAATGGGACAACCCAGAGTTCAGAGTGTAGCCTGAAGCCCACTGCCCCTCTGGCACCTGGTGACGTCATCAGTCTCTCCTCTAGTGTGACAATCTTTGACCCACTACCACTTTGCACACAGGGCACTCTGGGAACCATCTTCATACCCTTCACCAGAACTGAACCTCTGCCCGGGCCTGGGGGAACAACAGAGAAATGGGGCTAGGCAGGGAAAAGGGGCCGACAGGAAGCTGGAAAGGGACCAGGATCTTCAGTGCTCACCACTGTCATAGGTTCCAAACCAGGTCAGACTGCCTATTAGGCATCCCTGTCACCCCCACAGGCCCTGCCCATGGCCATGCCAGAAGCCAGCTATGACACTTCAGAACGAGGACACCTTACTTTTCCTCGTAGGCCATGACGAGGCGGGGGTCCAGGATATGCTCTTCTGGTTCCCATGTGCTGTACCTGGAGAGAGGAGTGAGAGGTGAGTGCTGCCCCCGACCCCAGGTCAGGGAGCCCGATGCTCTCCCAGGGCCAACTGTCACCAAGCCTTTGTCCGGCCTGGTAAGGCGTGACTTAACTGCTCTGAGGAGCTGACCTGACCTGGCCTTCCCGGGGCTACAAGGTTACCAGACCTCCACTCATTCACACCACGGTCCAATCTACCTGGGTCCTATACCTAATCAGACTCACACTCGCCTGAGGCAGTGTGGACAGAGCAGGGGCTCTGGAGTCATACTACCTGGGTTCAAATCCCAGCTCTGGGCAACCCTGAACCATTTACTCAACAGCTCCACGCCTCAGAATCCCCATCTATGAAGGACACTGGTGCTGAATAAACGTGTGATCTAAGTGGGTGCACTGCGCTGTGGAGCAGGAGCACTCTATTTCCTGCTGTTTGCCAGGTAGGCAGGTCTTCCCCTAACCTTCAGCCCCTGCCCCAGCAAGACCTCCTCTATTGGAAGCCAGCCCCTCCCACCTGGGCACGTCTGAGCCATGGGGACTGGCACACAGTAGGTGTCTGGTAGATCTCTAGTGTCCAATTGTGCAGCACTCCCACAGCAAGCAACTCCCGGGACCACAGAACACCCTGAGGTGGGGCTGGCCTGGCAGGGAGCACAGCAGGTGCAGAGCTGTGCCACAGCCTCCTTTACCAGCCCCCACCTCCTTAAAGCAGCTCAATTTTTCTGTTTAAACAATTCCATTACATAAGCAAGCTTTATGATTTCCATAGAGGGAAAACCCATATCACTAATCACAAATAGATACAAGTATTAAAACTTTTTAAATTTATGGGGCCAGGGATTTAGCTCAATGGCACTGCACCTGCCTTGCAAGTGCAAGGTCCTGAGTTTGATCCCCAGTACTCCACCCCCCAAAAAACTTTTAAATTTAATGTATGTGTATATGAATGTACAGTGTACACATGTAACATACACACACACAATACACCTATAACACATGTGGATATAAACCAAAGCAAAGCCATGTGCTACAACCCCAGCCTGAGGCCCTGCTGGGGTAGAAGGCAGATGACTGGTAATAGAGAGGCATCAGGAAGCAGAAAGGGGCCAGGCCAGCGCTGCCTTCTAGTCAGTTGAGCAAAGACCTCTACCTTAAGCCTCCTGGGACACCTTCATGACCTTTAACACCAGAACAGTGCAGAGCAGCAAGCTCCCTAAGTACAGAATGCTCCGCATCACCACCTTACTTTGCAGTCTAGGGATTGAACCCAAGGCCTTCATCACACTTAGCTACATCCCAGCCCTTTGCCTTTGAGACAGGATCTCAATAAATCACTAAATTCCCTAGGTTGGGCTCTGGGTTTCAATCTTCCTGACTCAGCCTCTCAGAGTGATGGAATTAAAAGTGTGCACAGGGCCAGGGATTTGGCTCAGTGGTTCCACCACCTGCCTTGCAAGCACAGGCACCAGAGTTCAATTCCCAGTATCAACAAAACAAAACAAACAAAGTGTGCGCAACCACACCAGCGGGCTTTCCTTCCCTCTTGGGCTAACAGCTCCCGGCCTGATGTCAGACCTGTGCAGGGTCAGCAATAAGGACTGCCCCTCTCCTTGCGTGCACAGCCCCAGGCCCCTCCCATGGTGAACGCCAGCTGGGAATCCTGTCTTCTGCCTGCCTGCCTCCCTCCTGCTCTCCTGCTGGTACCCTCCCCCTGCAGGTAGCTCCAGGCCATGCTGCAACAGTTAGCTTCTGGTAGCTCTACCTGACATCCTTCCAAGCTGCCACCCTCCCAGCAGGACCAAATCCTAGCTATCTATGAATCCAGCTGGTGCCTGGCCCAGGAATCCCCCCCCAGAGCCAGTGCAGGGCCTGCCCAGGTGCTCAGGAGGCAGGGGGGCACCCTCTTCTTCAGTTTAGCTCACCGCTGCAAAAAAGCAGAAAATGAAACAACTCAAGAAGCCCAACAATCTGATCCACTGCAGGAGAGTGGAGATTGGGCTTTCCTCCCCCAGATAAAGGCTGGCTATCCTCAATCCTGTCTCTCTGGTGAGTCGCAGGTACCTCTCGTTGTCCTGATGTCTGTACTGTCTGCTCCTCTCTTTCCTACCCACCTTCCCCTGCGCCCCACCACCAGCACTTTCCTCGCTGATGTAGCTGTTGTGCGATTCCTGACAAGTCCCTCCCCATCTCTGGACCCCGATTTCTTCATTTTAAGAATAACTACCACCTCCCCAGTAACAACAGAAGCACTGCTACCTTCAGGAACTCCTCCTCCTCCATAATGCTCCACCTCCACTAAAGCAGGTTCTTACACTATGACCCACTTTACAGGTGAAAAACTGAGGCACACAGTAAAGTAGCTTGCCCAAGATCACCAAGCCGGTTAAGCAGCCAGTCCGTGTCGACCTCAGTTCTACATTGGGCCACCTTCCAGGCCCTCGCAAGTCACTAGGGCCAGCTCCCCACCGGCTGTGACATCCCTGGGACAGGGGCCCTTGTCTGACCCAGGGCCGGACCTAGCAAACAGTGAGCATACAGAAGGGGTGGCTAGATTTAAGAGGCGGATCGTTTCTGGCCTGGCTCTGCCGCGGTAGCCCCGCCAGGTCCTCTTTGGTGCTGGGTAGGGCGCGGCAGGCTTTGCACAAACTTCCGAGCCTACCCAACCCCGCCCCCAGGCCCCAGGTTACAACGGGCCCCAGCGGATACACAGTGAGGGACTCCGGAGACCGCAGCGTGGGGATCTCACTTTGCCAAAAAAGCGGGGTGCAAGCACAATCCGCTCGAGCCAGAGCGCCTTGGGTATACTCGGGGCCAGCACAGTCCGCTGGAAGATCAGGGCGCGGGCTGTGCGGGAACTAGCGCCCCACACTGGTGAAAGAGCGGAGGACTTCACTTGCCCAGCCCCACCCCTTTTAGCCTCTACTACAGCGGGGCGGCCAAGTGCGCGCGCACGTCTGGGGGCGGGGCAGGCGCGCCAGTGACACCCGGCCAGCCAATGGGGGCGAGGCAGACGGGTGCGCGCTGCTGAGATAAACACGGCCACGTGACCGCCCGGCCCGCCCCCAGCACAGTAAACAAGCTGCTGGAGCGCCGCGCCCCACCAAGCTTTAGGCGGCTGTGGCTGGGGACAGAATTTGGAGGGAGGGTCAGGCCAGCTTTTCTGAGGATTGAAAGGGGTGTGCTGCCAGCTGTGATACAGGGGTCCCTAGGGCAGGGGGAACCACAGAACCGTGCTAGGCATCCCCTCCACAATGTAAACTGCCCCAAATGAGAAGCACAGTGAGAGGCTTGGGCTCAGACTTCTGGAATTCAGCGTTGGGCAAGTGATGCCCTCCCTCTGTGGCCTCATGCTAATGCTGGACTCCCAATAATCCCTTCGCTTGGGGTTGGGCTGATAATTAAATGTTGTCACCCAACGCACTTATCAATGTGATATCTGAGGAAAGCAAATAAGCATTAATAAGCTTATTCCAGAAAGCTAGAGTGCGCAGAAGTTGCCAGGACAGGACCCACAGCGCTGCGGCTGCTGTCCAAGCCCACCCTTACAGAAGAAAGACACTCCTACCCTGTCCCTGGCAGACGTTAATGACACTAAGCCTTTCAGCAGGGCCCAGTCGGGCCTCATTTCACAGAAGAGGAAGCGAGGCACAGAGAGGTTGAGGGTTTTGCCTTGGGTCACAGAGCTGATGTATCTACATAAAGGCAAGGTTGTCCCCAAAGCCTGAGTTTGTCCTACTGACCTAGCTAAAAGGCCAACAGGCAAGAGACTCCTGGTGATCTTTGGTGGAGCTGGCTCTACATCGCAGGAGACAGATCCACAAGCCTTGGGGTCAGGCAGGCTGCAAGTCAGCTTTTCCCAGCCCTGTGACCCTGGGCAAGAACTCTTCTGTGCCTCAGGTTTCTTTCCTCTGTAAAATGGGTCACTCACTATGCAGCAATTAATGAACTGATACCAGCCTCAAAATGGGGGCTTATTCATTAGCAGCTCAGTTATTGCTTTTTGCATGAATATCATTACTAAAGCTCCATGGAGCCAATCCCTCCCCAGTGAGAAAGGAAGTCATCCAGGATGTGGGAGCAGCAGGGTCCTGGGCAGGTTGAAATGAGAGTTGGGTACCTGGGGTGCAGAGAGCACCTGTTACTGACAATTCACATCCTCTGCCCCGTCCCCCAGCCCTGCCCCACCTGCTGTGCCTTCCAGAAGGAAAAAGAGCCACCCCTGCTGGGGAAGAGGACAGGCACTTGACTGTTGTTGGAGAGAGAAAACAGGCAAGGCACAGAAAGGCTCCGCAGGGTCCTGGCCTGGAGTGATGTGCATTTAAATCACTGAGATTAGTAACAGAAGCTTCCCTGCCCAAGGGTGAGAAGGGACTGAGCAAGAGAATCCCTCCCCCAGGAGAGCCCACAAACCCAGCCAAGGACCCCAAGCCGGTGGAAACAACCTGCCCAACCCCCACCCCCTTTCTCAGCCTCCCCTCCCATGGAGGGGGGCACTGCAGTTGGAGCTAGGGGCTCTTGCTCTCCTGCCTCACATGCAGGGTCACAGACAGCAAGAAGCTGCACAGGTTGGCACGTTTTTTTTTTTTTTTTTTTTTTTTTTTTGCACTGAGCTACACCTCCAGCTCGGTTTTTAGCTTTCATTTTGAGAAAGGGTTTCACTAAGTCACTTAATTGCTCAGGTAAGCTCAAACTTGCTATCCTTCTGCCTCAGCCTCCCAGACTGTTGTGATTACAGCCATGTGTCACACACCCAGTTTTTTTGGAGGCAGGGTCTCTTATGTACCCCAGGCTGGCCTGGAACCTGTGGCAATCCTCCTGCTCCTGCCTGCCCTAATTACCGGCTTGTATCACACCACACCCAGCCAGCCTGTAGTTATATTCTTTTAATGACCTCCTGTCTCTGGGCCTCAGTTTCCCCATTTTAAAAGTAAGAAGACTGATCTAAATGAGGGTTTTAGTCTAAGGCTATTTTGAGCTGTTTGGCATGGAATTCCCCTAGGTCCCTTTTCTGAGTGGAGCAAATGAAAACAAAACAACTCTTTGAGGCCTACTTATCTAACTTTGTGCTCACTGTGAATGTTTATTACAGTACAGGGTCTGCAAGGCATATCCATCATCTAATCCTTGGACCATCCCAGCCAAGGAGACTTTACAATTGCAATTAAAGGCCTGGAAGGAGAGACCAGCCCTGCTTGGGGGCCTGTTCAAGGGCTCCAGCTTTTAATGGGCAGCCTGGCCTGGAATCCAGGACCAAGTGGGGGGTAGCAATAGAAGGCACGTAGGTGTCCCAGGTCATCTGTTAAGTGGGGCTTTCAGATTCCAGAACCCAACTGGGGGTCCCAAGAAGCAGTCATGAAGGTCGATGTGATGGCCTCTGTGTTAAGAAACAAGCAGGTGATGGGGCATAACAAGCAGGCCAAGGCCAGAGCACTGGACAGAAGCAGCAAGAGCCCCTGCTCTCGGGGTGGCCTCCCACCTCCTGATGTTCCACCAGGCAGAGGTGTTCATGTTTTTGAAAGAGCAAATGCGAGAAAAGGAAGTGTTTACTATTAGGGGCCTTTCTTTATAGAGAAGGAACCCTTTAAAAAGATGGAGTCTGCAGAAGAGAGAAACAGCAGGCAGCACAGCTGGATGTCAACCAGCTGATGACCACGGCCACAGGCGCAGGACAAACAGGGGTCAGGCTTCATCTGCCGCCTAGGCTCTGCCTGTCCCCCTTCACAGCTCAGAAGTGCACCTGTGACCAGTGAGGAGGGGTCCTCCTTAGCCCCAAGGGTGAAGGGAGGGACGAGCACCTGCTGCCACCAGCTGACCACCAACCTAGGATGCTGCAGGGCACCCTGAAAATGTGCTCAGGTGAAAAACACAGGCCTGGACCACTAAACCCATTTAGCAGAGAGAGAAGCTGAGGTACAGTAGCTTGTCTTAACCGGCGCTTACTCCCTACAGGACCTAGGTCAGCCCCCATTGCCTAGCAGAACAGAAAGCAGATCACATCCCCTGGGGCAGAGGGGCTTGACAGCCAGTTTCTAGGAAAGCCTGGGTCAGGGTGCCTACAGACCAATGGGGAGGCTCCAACTAGCTCTTCCCACCCTAACAACTTTGTGCTGGGAAGCCTTCTGTTTGGCCCTCAGCAGGAGAGGCCAGCAGCTGGGTGAGGTCTTAGACCCACCTTTGGGTGAGGTACTGGAAAGATTTGAAAATAGGAAGACCTACTTCAAGTTCTAACTCTGTCTTTATATGCTGTGTGACCTAAGGCAAGCTACTCACCCTCTCTGAGCACGTTTCCTCATCTTGTGCGCTCTGGATCATGCCCACCTCACAAGGGCTGGAAACCTTTGGAAAGTGCCATCCAAAGACCTCTGGCTTTGCCCTCCCTGTGCTGTCCCTGCTGAACTGGGGCCCCTGGGCCTGGCCAGCATCTCTGCAGCCAAGTGCTGAGCCCTCAGAGGGAGGGGAGGGGAGAGGAGGGCACAGAGCTCAACTCTGGGGGCCAGGGAGGGGAGAAGCTGGACACCCGCCTTAACCCTCTTGTGTGCCAGCCTGATAGCAGCAGGGAAGCTGATGATTTAAGAGCTGGCTGTCCAATTACAAAAGCAGATGGAGCTAAAAGCTAGGCAGAGTCAGGGGCGAAAAAGCAGGTGGAGGGATGGACAGACAGACAGACACAAAAGAGCTTACTTGGGGGGCCATCCTTTCCACTTTACCAGATACTCCACTTTGCCCTGGAAGAGAAAGAAATGGATGTGGTAAGGCATGCACTTGCCCCCATGGCCACTCCCACTGAAGGTTGAAAGGACCTCAGTCCCAAATCCTCCTGCAAACAGGTGTCCCTCACGAAAACACACACCCCAGGGACCCCTCACCAGATCCCTGGCAACCCAGAGAGCCCGAACACTGGCTGCTACCTGACCACCCAGTTTCCCCTCTCCACTACAGCACAAGAATGCCTTGGACCCCCAAAACTCCTGGGGCCCCAACTCAAGAGCTCCCGTCACACATGGGGAAACTGAGGCCACATGGGGCCATGTGTGCAAGATGACACCCACAATGATGAGCATCTCGGTGCCAATACCATGCCTCTTTGTAGATCAGAAGGTTTCAAGGGGTAGCCCATTCCTCCCCGGGGTGCGGGGTTAGGGGGGGCTCTAGCCCTATCAGCCAGCTGCTGGGAGAGGCTACCTCTGGCCTAGGACTCTAGTTACAAAAGACCCTGGCAGGACCCTAGAGAAGACTCCCAGGCTCCACTCTCAGGAAGTGCAATCCTCTCTTCAGCCTTTAGGAAACAGCCATCATCCCCTTTCTTGCCAAGGGATGGGGATCTTTACAGTGTGTTGCACCCCTTTTAGTGGGAGAAACTTAGACACAGCACCTTCTCAAAGAGCCCACCCTTGGCCACCCTTCCAATGCCGCTCGTCCCTGGCACTTGTCAGTTCTTTGTGCAAAGCTCACAGCCCAGCCAAAGGCATCTGTATTTACTTCCTTATTCATCCTGCACCTTTCCAGCCTGAACACCAGCTCTCGGAGGGAAGGAAGGCTTACAATGGTGCCTGGACACGGCAGATACCCAGGGAGGTTTGCAGTGCCTGGCTGAAGGGTGCTGTTCTCACTCTCTCCCACCAGCCCTCCAGCCCGCTACAGAAGAGACAATCGCCGCACCTGTTTCAGGCTGTACTTCCTGGGATACACTGGGCTGTACAGCATAAATTAACCTTTTTTTCAGCTGAGAAAACCTGTGGAGGGGGGAGGAGAGGTAGCCCCAGACAGAAGAGATAATGGAACCTCAAGTGGAGTTGGTGGAAGGAAAGAGGCTGACCGTTGGCTCAAGACGCCAGGGCTGGGTTTTGTCCGTGGAAAGGTGGGCTCCAGACCGGTCAACCTGAGCACGTGCTCTACCTCCAATTCTAATTTGCCATGGGCCCTTGGGCGGGTCATCTGCCCGGGCCTCAAGTTTTTGCCTCTGATAAATGGGAGGAGTTGACCTCCACGAGCCTCCCCAGCGGCTGCTGGAGAGGCGGGAAGAGGACCCCGGAGGAACATTTCCTGGAGGTCCCCAGCTCCAAAGCCCCAGCTTGGGTTGAGACCTCTGGGCAGACATGTGCATGTGCAGACGACCAAGTCTGGATGTCCACAGAGGCGCGGTCCTGAGCCCAGCGCAACGACCGCCTTTTCAAATTGCAGGGTGTACGTTTGGAAGGCAGAGGCAGAGGAGGAGGAGCTCCGAGGACGCCCCAATAGGGCTTCAGAGCGGCAGTTCAAAGTCCGACATGAAGATTTCAGTAACAGTGGGAGACTTTTCCAAAGCTCCTCCAACTTCAAAGGACTTAATACTAAGAGTCTGGACTTCCCGGAGTTCGAGACCCATCCCCGACACTACAGCACTAGGCAAGTTGTTTCAACTCCGGCCTCAGGTCTCCCCATATTCTGAATGAAAAGGGGATAAGGCAGGATGGCACTCAGCATCCCCCCTCTCCCCAGGCTGATCTTTATCTTCGGCTCAGGGGGGCTCAGCTGCCCCCAGCATCTCGAGGCCACAACTTTGATTCTACTCGCCCTACACCGTAGCAGGGAAACTGAGGCACGGGCTGAGGAGACTGGCCAGCATCTCAGGACTGCCTGGGCCCCCGCCGCACTTTCCCCGGTCCCCGGCCCGGAGGGGGCGATGCTGGGGACCGGAGGCAACCCTCCGAGGTCCCAGGAGCAGCCACGGGCAGCCTCACCTTCCGCACGCGCTTCTTCCGGATGCTCTCCACTGCGAACACCTGCTCCCCAATGGCTGACAGCT